AAAACAGAGTTGTTCTGTGGTGCTTTGAGTTGTACCCTGCCGGGCGACACTAATGCTAATGTAGTTATCCAGCTACAAGTAAAACCCACTGCAGTACAGTCTGTTTTAGCAACTCATGCTCAAATACCACCCATTTAGAGGATAAACAAGATGACAAGATGAGAGCACGCTGAGAGAGACTGGAGTTGGACTGACAGACGAATGTTGCTATTAGCCTGTTAGTTTGTTTGTGTAGTTTTCTTGGATATTTCCTGGTTCTGATTTACAACAGACGGAAAGAGAAACTGTAACCAGTCTCACGAGTCCAGGCCAGCGCAGAACCGCCCAGTATGGTCCTGAGAACCATTTGGCTCGATAGTGGAAAGAGGCCTTTGACTCTAATGCTGCTCTCAGGCACCACTTATGGCCACTTGTTTTTCATATACTCGTGTAGCCGTTGTCTATCTGGAGGATTAAAAGCCCTTCCCCCTAGGTGGCAGTCAAGGGCCAATAAATCCCTGTTCGCCACTGCAACTCGTTTTAATTTATGTTTGTAAGTTTCAATGTCTGCTTGTAAAGTGTCATTGATTTCACAGCAACTGTTCTGGCAAGCATATTTGTCATATAAGCGTAGGTAGTGGCAGACAAGCTGTATCAGCCTCCCTTTACAGGTCTCCACCATGGTCTCCATTGTTTTTATTGTAGTCTACTTTAGAGCCTGGATAGCTCAGTCGGTAGAGCATCAGACTTTTCCTCTGTGGGTCCAGGGTTCAAGCCCCTGTTTGGGCAATTAGAGCAATTGTTTGCTACATAGGGGCAGTTGTGGTGATTAGGAAACCAGCCTTGTAACCAGATGGTACTGGATCGATCTCCTGACAGGACATTAAGACCCTTATTAGTCCCAGCTCCGCAATCTAATCCCTCCGTGCAGTGAAACACCACATACACACTAGTGAACACACAGGGGGCAGTGAGCACACTTGTCCAGAGCGGTGGGTTAGGTGGCTTGCTCAAGGGCACCTCAGTCATGTACTGTCAGTTCACAAGGCTGGTTCCCTAACCTCCAGCCCATGAATGCCCCCAACTGAAGTGCCCTTGAGCATGGCACCTAACCCTCAACTCTCGGCTGCAGAGAGGGCTTGTGTGGGTGTTTCGCTGCACGGAAATGTTAAATTATAAATATTATAAAAAATAAGAGTTTCTAAAAGTCCAAAAAGAAAATGGGGCTCCTGTCAACCACCTGGAAGACCTGGTAGACACCAGAACTGTCCCCCATCAGATAAACAGCACTTAAAGCTTTCATCTTTGAGAGAGAGGAGAATATCAAGCTGCTTCAGATCTGAAAACATCCACAGGTGTTTCTGTCCATCCTTCCACTGTGAGAAGACAACTCAGCGCTGTGGGTCTGAAAGGATGTGTAGCTGTCAAGAAGAACCTCACTGAGAAAAGGAGTCGGACACATCAAACAAAGAAGCTGAACGATGGACTGACCACCCCAGAGTCCAGACCTCAACACCACTGAATGTGTTTGATTACTTCAGAAAATGATCAACCAGCTTCTAAGACTGAATTTTGGAGGTGTGTCTGCAGATCCTTTAAGAAACTTAAAGTGAGTCTCCTGAAATGAAAGGGAAGCTGTAATAAAAGTAAAGAGTGGACACACTAAGTGCAAAAAGTTTGTGCGCCCCTGCTTAACGCATCTTTTACAGAGAAAACACCACTGTAACTTGCACTTAATAGCTGAACTGGGTATATATATATATATATATTTCCCCAAAATCATTGTGAGATTTGAGGTTTTTCTTTAAGAATCGTAATGGAATCAAACTGTGGCTGGAGCTTTTGGAGAAGCTGAGAGTGATATCATCTGTCTTGGCAGAGTCTGTGGCTGTGAAAGCTGGCTGAAGTTCAGCCTTGTGTGGAATCTCCTGACTACACCAACCTCATGTCTGAACTGTGCAGCTGGAGCAGTATAGAACTAGAGCTGTACGTAAAGTGGAAACTATTGATTTTACTGACGCTTAGTGGCTTTTCCTGCTGAATCCACTTCAGCTCCAGCTGTGTCCCAAACCGGCATGTTCTACAGCAAACAAAAGGAGAGGAACCACAAAAAGATGACTCACTTATACACTCCCAGTTAAACCCTATTGAAAACTGTGAGCTAAACCACCTTTTAAAGGGCCTGTATCTTACATTTTTGACATTTGTTTTAGTTTTACACACCAAAAACAGTGGTAATTCATGTTTTGCATGACCTTTGGGAATGACTTGTATTCTGATTGGCTGTCCTGTATTGTACCTCATTCGAAAACCAGTAGAGCACTTCTTATAACCTTATCCAGAATGGGTGAGGCTATAGGCTGAATATGTAAATGCCTTAATTTTTGTGATATCAGAGATACAATGAATGATAAACATTTAATATGGAATATTTTTGCAGATTCATTTCTATACATGGACGGTACTGTGGTGTGTTTTGAAACTTTAACAGTGTTTACACACTACATCAAACTCTTATTTCCTAAAACGTTTTCATGACATGGGCCCTTTAAATGTAAAAATAACAAAGGGATGCTGTCACTTGTAGCTCAATTGTGTGGAAAGTGCACAAAAAGTGCACTCTGTACTTTTTTTATTATGATTCAATTTTAATGAAAAATTTGTGGTGTACAGTCTTGTTTTGGGCCTTTTACCCTTCTACCATGTTTTTGTTATTGTTTAATATGAAAAAAGTTGCAGACTCAAACTTGTCCAAAAAAGAATTGACTGTCATTATATAACAGTTTTTGGACAACAAACAACAAAAAACCCTGCACAGAGTCCTTGGATGGCAGTAGAAAGTGTCGAAACTTCAGGAGGAGTTTCTCTCCAATAATGTTATGGCCCATTACTGGCAATGACAAAATCTCATGAGCAATTTCCAGCGGCCACGCATAACTAGAAGCTTCTAAGCCGCCAGCAGAAGCCCAATGAAAGGAGTCCAATGCCCAGAGGCCAGTGACATCAGCGCTCAAGTTTATGTGCAACCCAGGCAACAAAAAACATTACCAACTGCACAGCAGCAAAGACCAAAACATCTAAAATACAGTGCTTGATATACAGCACAGCAATATCACCACTGCACCAATGGAACCCCCCATGTGTTCTCACAGAACAATATCTATTGTTTACCATGCGGCTCTGGGTATTTTAACACATTGGATGAGAGTGCACGCCTTCTGGCAGACAGTTTCCTCTCCGAGCCGGTAAACTGCCCAAATCAACACTGCCCACAAACCACACATGTCAGAGTATTCAAGCTAACCTTTAATTATAGAAAAAACGGAATAAGACATTTACGTCTTCAAGTTTCACAGCATGTGGTGGTAAAACCATCGTCCAGTCAGTGTTTGGCCACACTGGAACCCAGACACAGCTTAGTCATAGACCAGATTACACTGTCAGCACATGGTTAGCGAAGACACTGTTGGACCAGCACTATCGCTGTGTCCAGAATGCAGGGCAGGGACAGTGAGCAGATATTCTAGGATTTCTTTGAAAACAGTCCCAATCTTTCCTAACATGGATTTCATACACTTGGCCTATGTGTGCTCCATTCATGAATCCATCATGTCATTGCTATTGATGTCAGATTGTACAAGCCTTGCAGAATGTTAGCAAAATCTAATTCAATCTAATGAGGAAATGTTGCACAACTGAAGTGTTTCACAACTCAAGTGTCCCAGTTTGAGTGCATTATTAGTTTGAAATGATGATTCATTATGTTTATCTGAGGTCCCACTGCTAGAAAAGGTCAGATGTGGATTTTTTGTCATGTATTCAAGCTATGCTAACGTTGGCATGGTGGCAATTTGTTGTTATCTCCAATCTGCCTACATTGTAAAAACATGGCAGATGATTTCAAGTGTTTTTGGTGTTTGAATGCATGTAAAAAAAAAGGCTAGAAGCCACAAGAGGCTGTGTTCTTGTGATTTTATCTCAAGTGGTATTAAAACCCTTTTATCCATGATAAAATCACCATGAAGCACAGCCTCTGGTGGTTTTAGTGCTTTTATAAAAAGCACACAACCTAAACTATAATAAAAAAAAATCAATAAATAATTGTAAAAAGTTACAATGACTAATAATCGCAATAAATATTCCTCCACCAAGAAATGTGGATCATTTAGCGTATGCTACCCAACTTATTTTTCACATGCCTATTATATTTTGAGTTCACGGCCAAAATATCCAACTGAAAATGGATGTCGTTCATGATTGTGAAAGTGTGCTTACTTTTTTAAGTTATCATTTTATGCCATATTAAATGTCTCTGAGACATTCTGGGACAAAGTGCAGGTCGCTACGGCCAAGTGAAGATGGAAGTACATCGAGAACAAGAATGTGACAAGCATCAACCTCTTTTAGGAAAGCGCAGCTTCAGAAGACAATGTGGCTTCATAATCACTGCTTGAAAAAAGCCCAGCTGTTATTGTTGAAATCTGGGCACATAAAGTCCTACCAGGTGATAAATAGTCAGTTGAACCTCACTAGTTGCTGCTATTGGACTATGTTTAACTGTATATTCTCTGTATTCCCTGTGGATATTTTCTGCCCTCAGTAGAGCAGGTTAAACAGGAACAGAAAGCCAACTGCCTAACAGGCAATTTACCACTTCAATATGGAAAGTCCTGGCTGAAAGAACAGCTTAGATCAGCATGCGTTGGTTTATGCTGATCTGGTGCTGGTTTAGCTGATTTTTGGAAGTGATTGGCATAGCAGCTTCAATAGTTGCTGACCAGCATCATCCAAAACGCAACCTAGCTGGTTTTGCTGGCGGCCAGCTATTCTAATATGCCGGGTTTTTTTCTAGCAGGGAAAGAGATGTTGCTTTAAAAGTGAATATTTACTTGCATACCTGTTGCAAACGTGAAATATCTATATTGAAACTAGAGTTTACATCAAAATCCAAAATCCAAAATAAAACAGATTTCTATGTTAAACACTGCTATGTAATCACATCGCTTAATCACATTGATTACACAGCTATGTAATCACATTGCTTCAGCTAATCAGATTTAAGGCCTGGAAATATCCATTTTATAACATTGCTTGTGTTCAAGTCGATAAAAAATTTGCATAGTTTCATTCAAAATATTTATTTGAGGGGAAAAATACCAGTTAAATTTGCTTTTTGAAGTAATTTTTGTGGCTGAACTGACAAACAGTTGGAATGCAAGTTAGACAAATTATGTTTTATTGATTTTCTAATAATTTTCTGCTAATATGCTGGGTTTTTCTAGCAGGGCAAGAGATGTTGCTTTAAAAGTGAATATTTACTTGCATACCTCTTGCAAACATGAAATATCTATATTGAAACTAGAGTTTACATCAAAATCCAAAATAGCGCTGAGCTAACCGAGCGTGGCGCTGAAATACCGTGGTGAACAAACAAGTAGCGTATTTGTGGTACTGCTTTTAAATAAAACAGATTTCTACGTTAAACACTGCTATGTAATCACATCGCTTCATAGTGCCTATATATTAGCATTTAGCATGTTTAACATAATGTGTGTGCTTCGGCCTGAGTTCTGTCCATAGGTCCAGCATCACAGGGCTGTAAGAATGTGATGGATTGATGCTAAGTATCTGGACTGCTGAAGAAAGACATGCAGTCACTCATTAGAAGTCATTTCATGAACTTTTCATTTTTATCATATAATAACGAAAGTATTATAATAGAGCAGTGTCTAATGCAGAAATCTCACTATATAAGCAGTTTTTGCTCACCAAGTTACCACAGGAACGATAACGCTAATTTCTGCTAGCATCTCAATGAGAATTCCTGTGTTAGCATCAAGCTAACTGTGCCACACATTAGTTTTCCCACGCAAGGTTTTAGACAGATCTAACCAAAAACACGAGCATTTGAAGTGTGTAAAGCATTTCAGTAACATAGGCTTTACTTTTTTACAGTTTGCAATGAATCTTTCTGTGAATCTTTCTGTGAATCTTTCTGTGAAAGTTGCTAAAAACAGCAGCTGTGTTTAGCAACTTTCACAGAAAGATTCACTGTTGTCCAACATACCAGCATCCAAAACACAACATATGCTGGTTTGGCTGGTGATCAGCAATGCCGGTCTATGCTTATTTTTCTAGCGGTGGAGCAGTGTAGCCTGTTAGGTATCTTTTAACCTGTTTTGCCTGCTATTTTTAGCCTAGTTGTTGAGAAAATCAGTTCATTTACTTCATCTGTCGACACACTTAGCGGTCCATGTGAGCTTCACAGTCCATTCACAGGTCAGTTTGGGCGATTTGCTGCATTAATACACATTTCAGTTGGTGTGAGGTGGTCACAGGTGTGTGTATATGAAATATTTTAGAATGTGGCTCAGCTAATCAGATTTAAGGCCTGGAAATATCCATTTTATAACATTGCTTGTGTTCAAATAGATTAAAAATTTGCATAGTTTCATTCAAAGTATTTATCTGAGGGGAAAAATACCAGTTAAATTTGCTTGGTAGTGCATGAAGTATTTTTCTTTGTGGCTGAACTGACAAACAGTTGGAATGCAAGTTAAACAAATGATGTTTTTCTAAATAATAATAAGTTTACACATCCTCTACTGAGTGCACAGTTATTGTTCATTTGCTGGCTTTAACATATTGGGTGGAAAAAACATAAAATGTGTCCTGTGTAAAAGTAATTGTGCATTTTGTATTTTATTTTTTATTCTTTCTGATTTGTTAAACTCGGTAAATAAATAGAAATTTTGCACTAACATTTGCAGAAAAATTCCATATTGAAGTTCCAGAAAAGTTCCCAGAAAATCAATAAAACATTCGACTGGGGGTGCTTAAATGTTTACACATGACTGTAGTCTGGCTCAGTAATGTAGCATTGTGAACTAAAAATGCAACATTATATATGTCACTATAAAAAATTATATAATTTCCCATAGAATTTTGCCCAATGTTTCATAAGCCTGTCCAACCTGGCCCCAATTGCAAGTCTGTGGGCAGAGCTTGGGTAAGTGAGTCGCATCCCTGCTGAAAAAACTCACAGAAACCATTGCATGTGCATGGTTCCCTAATGGGATCTAAAGGTGTTCTACAGGAAAGTATTGGTATCCATTGGAAACCATGAAGCCAATTCCAACAAATAATTAGGCTTTAATCCTAATGGTTTCTAAAGTCCTTTTTCAGCAGGGAATACAATCACATAATTTCATTCCCATCCTCATTATGAACCAAACAATCATTGATTTAAATAATTAAGGCATACACTGTAAAATGGCATGTCATCCTAAAAAGGTAAGGCTCGTTTTTGAGTAAAATTTATAAGTTATAGTCAGTTAACAGAACGTAAGACAAATGTATTGTTCTGTTAACTTACTATTAAAAGATCAATTGAAAATTTTAAGGAAGGCTGCTAACTTTTGTAAGTCTTCAGCAAATCCCTGTCTTAAAACGATTTTCCAGCCATCAACAGTTTGAGAAATCCCTCGTCATTCACAAACAGGATGTTAGTCAGGCTAAGTGAAACCACGCCAGCTGTCAGTGTGCTGTAGACATTACAGCCTGTCTCTCGGCCAGCTTCTCCTCCAGACATTCCACAAGCACTGGGTCCACCCTAGGGTCCACCTTATTGGCAAACCAGTGGCCGTAGTATAGGAGCCATCGGAGCTCAGCAGCACCGTAAATGCACACGCTGCGTACATGTATGCCAGTGCACGGTGGGTAAAGTGTGTCCTCCAGGTACTGCCACTTTACCAGGCGGGTTCTGCTCACTAGGTCCGAGACATCCGGGTCAGAACTTTTCAACCCACCCGGAACACCAGGCACACGGATCAGAGAGGCCCAGAAATGCTCATCTGGTGAGTAGGTGTCCTCCGACCAGGACAAGAAGTCTTTCACCAGGGGGCTCCACTGAACAAAGCTTACAAACTCCCGGGACAGAACGAAGTAGGCACTGCCCACAAACATCTCAATGCCATGGGGTGGTGGGCTCTTGACCTGGTCCGTTTTGACAGGGAGATGGTGGAACTGAGATTGAGTGTCCTTCAGGGCATAGCGGTAACTGAATCGCTTTCTCTTTAGCGCACTAGGACGCACCGTCTCCATCATGCTGCCTCCTTTCAGAGCCTTCAGTTCCTCCACCAACTCCACATTGGAGCGCAGTGGGAAGTCCTGGCCGCACAGGTTGATGGCGTACTTCCACTTGATCTCCGACACCATGAGGTCGGAGAGGCAGTTGAGGTCAGCGCGGAGGCGCGTGATGCTGGCGTACTGCACCCTCTCCAGCTTGGATGCGATGAAGACATTGGGCAGACAGCGGGCCAGCCCCTGCATGGCCGCCACAAACTGCGGCGAAGACTTCAGGTCATAATGGATGCAGTAGGAATTGTGGGGAACGTAGATTGCCCGCAGGATTCGCTCCACCATGGCCGCATCTTTGTGGACCACCAAAGAATAGGCAAGAGGAAAGTCACGTTCTAGTTCAGATGTCCGAATGCTACCGTAGCCCTTGGATGCCAGATAGCGTCTGCAGTCTGAGGTGGCATTTGCAATGTCCTCGTCGTCCAAAACACGTATGGCTTGTCTTCTGAGGGCCAAGGATTTGCCCACTGCCACCGGGTCCAACTCGTAAATGTCTGAGCAGTCGATGCCATGTTGCTCAGTGAGCCGCCTGCTGTTCGTTTGATCGCTTTGCTCCTTACGTCCGCTCAGGTAGTAACACTTCCTAAACATTGTGTATCCAATGATTAAACAAAGACATATTAGTGCTGACGTGAAGAACAGTGAAGTCCTTCTCAGCTTGCGCTGAACGATGCATCTTCTCATTCTAGACAAAGAAAGAAAGAAAGAAAGGAAAAGCATCACCACAGACTCCATAACAGATACTTCTACTTTGTAATATAGTGACTGAATAAACCGTGACGTGAGTTGTCCAGAGTGGTTTGGTGTGAAATGCTCTGTTCTAGAGAATCAGTGTTGTTCACAGTGGTGGTGATAGGAAGCAGATGTCTGAAGAATTTAATGCCTCTACAAATACCTGACATGATCACAAATACACTGAGATATTTGCGATGCTTTTGAGAAAAGGTTTTAGCCTAAAATCCATTCTTGGTGGAGGGATACATGCAGGGTGTTAGTAAGGCAAAATAGTTTTTCTTTCAGATTTGCTGCGATTTTTCCATCAACATTACACATAAAACAGAAAAGACATGTTCACCGGTGGTTTCAGATAATAAAAATAAACCATCACTGTGAGAAAAAATCCTTGTATCTCCAAAATGGTAACTTTCCAAGAGAAAAAAAAAACATTCTTCACATTCAATAGAAGTCATTTTGGACCATTTCTGTAAATGTGTGTGTGTTAAAACATAAAAAATGAAAGACGACAAAAATGCTGACTCAAGGAGAGCCATGAACTGAAATGGCTACGTTTGCGTCACGGCCATCGGGACGCCTGGTTCCTATCACCTCCACTGTAAAGCAGATCTGAGTCGGCAAGTTTCTCAACAACAGACCCCTCCGCGTCAGGCCGCTCTGACTGAGCCTATCTGCATCTCAACCACTGATTTATGCAGACATTTTGAAAGCTCTGTGAGGTTCTCCTTTAACAAAGCACAAGGTCTGAGATTTAGGGAGAGAACAAAGTGCAGCATATCTCGGCCGAAGCCAAGTTCAGAAGCTCGGAGAGCTCATGTGGTTTGCATTACCTCGCTCCACCGTGGGTCACTGGCCTCGAAAGAATCCATCAGAAGCTTCTTAGAGCTGACATGACAAGCTAACAGTGAGAACAAAAGACACCACAGAGGTCAGGAAGCATCTTCATGAATCTCATCAATAAACAATAAAAAAGTCAACAACTGATATGTTTATGTTTACTTGTTTGAGAAGCAGCAGTGTTTTTCTAACATAGTAAGGAAGAGTTCAGATAAGACAGTACAGTGAATTATAGGCAGGCTAGTGTACTGAGTGAACAACAAAGCAGTGGCTACTTGGGGTCAGCATATCTCTCCTAAAGGCACGTGGCCTTCTTTGTGCCGGCAAAACTAACAGAAATTACCTGAAAGTACTGCTGAAAGTCCGTGAAGTCCTCGCGCTGCTCTCAGTCCGTTACTGTACAGTAACTCTAAAGGCAGCTCTGAGCAACGCACGGAAAAGGGGCGGGGCCAAACCCTGCTGTGAGAAAAATGAGCACCGTAACTCAGCTGGGTGGTTTCCGCGTGCGCTGGATGCGAGCGGCGCGAGGCGAGGCGCCCGCGTTACAGCAGCGCGCGTGCTGGTGAAGCTGGTTCCTCTTTCGAACCGTTTAAACCGAATGAGCCACCAGGAAACTTTTACAGCAGCGGTCACGCTGTAAATGACCGGCTATTAATAATGTTCTGCCCATTCCTTATTTTATCTTCGCTGATAAAACAAACGGAGCGTTCCTAAAAGGGGAAGTCCAGCGATTTTTTACAATTTGTGAATAATTAACTCGAGAAGAGGTGAATGGTCCCTCATAGTGGTTTGATGAAACTTACAGATGTTCCAGAGAAACTTACTGAGTCAGAATTGTTCACAGTGGTGGTGATAGGAAACAGACGTCCTATGACAGAAACATCCTGACTAGAGGTGGGCGATATGGCCAAAACATAATATTGCAATACTTCAGGAAATTTTCATGATACACGATACATCACAATATTTATTTTTTCTGATTATTTGGAGCAGTGCTAGATTAAAAAAAAAAACTATAAAAATAATGTGAATATAATGATTTTGAATGAATATTTAGCACTAATTCTAGTTAAACAGGACTAATTTTTCTCTCTTTATAATGAAACATGCAGAAAAGCATACTGTATTGTATTGTGACGAAATTTATCACAATAAAAATTTATTTATTGTCATATTTCCCAGCCCTCATCTTCACTCTAAACCCTGCTAGAAAAACCAGCATGGCTGGTCACCAGCAAAACCAGCATATGTTGTGTTTTTGATGCTGGTATGCTGGTCAACCAGTATGACCATGCTGGGTGACCAGCTAAACCAGCACCAGGCCAGCATGGAATTGTGCTAAATGCTTACATTTGTTTTTGCATGGTGAAATGGTTCGTCAGATTGATGGAGAATGTGTTGTGTTGTTTATGGTTCTGTTTGAAAAGGGTTCTAAAAGGAATTGAACAATCTTCAATTGTTATGATGCCAAGCTTATAACAAAAGGAAAACTTTTGTTATAAGCTTGGCATCATACCAATCGCAGAACACTTTTTGGTGCTATATAGAACCCTTTTCAAACAGGTTCTATACAGAACCATATCGCTGTTGTCGGAACAAAACCTTGTATCTCCAAAATGGTAACTTTACAGGAGAAGGCAAAAACCTACTTTACTTTTAATGTAAGTTAATGGAACCAGACTTCTTTCAAAGTCATTTTGGGCCGTTTCTGTTGGTCCATTCTTCATGAAATGTAGATACAATATAAAGGGCAACAGTTATTTTCAAATTATGTAAAAAACTGAAAAATGTCAAAAATGGAGATACAAGGTTTTCCTCCAACAGCAGCGATAACAACACATTCTCCATCAATCTGAAGAACCATTTCACCATAAAAAGAACAATTTAAGCATGAAATGTTTCTATGTAGAACTCATGGTTCTAAATAGAACTATTGCCTTTACTAAAGAACCCATAAAAAAATCTTTTAAAGAGTGTAGAGAAAATTTCTCTAAATTCTGTCCTAACATCAGGGAAACCCCAGTGGTGTCCTGACTTCTGCTTTAACCACCCGCTTCTTTCTTTTTTAGGGAGCTGTGAGAGGCAGCGTAGTTCCCTACTAACATAATGACATGATGTTTTCACATTTTTCTGTATTGAAAAACAGTAGTTTCACTCATAAGATTTTTAAATAACTCTGCATTTTAAAAACCCCAGATGTGCAAATACTGGTCTCCACTATCCCCTGTTTCTACTTTCGTGTGTCTGATTACAAATACAATGAATTCCAAGACAAGTCCAAGTACAAATACATGCTGTCAAGTCCAAGCCCAGTCCAAGTACAAATACTATCAGGTTAAAGACAAGTCAGAGTGCTTGGACAAGTCAGAGTACTAACGCTGTCACGCCCTCGTTGAGTCTGAGAACAAATACTAACAAGTTCAAGACATGTTAAAGTACAATTACAATGAATTCCAAGATCAGACCAACTACAAATACTATTAAGTATAAGAGGAGCACAACAAGAAATACTATCGAATCCAAGATGAGTCCAAAAAACGAATACTTTCTAAATTAAGGACAATATAAAACGTCTAAACTCAAATTGCATACTCAGCTCTCTGAAACTGTAGTGTGTGTCACCTCACTTCTGCACACTACCCACATTTGTTTGGATATGCTTGTTGTCATAGCTATGTTGTTAACATTAGTATGCAAATGACCCGGTAGGAGCCAGTCAGAAGGCAAAAAAGCTGTTTTTCATGTTCAAATGACAAACATGAACTTACAACCCCACACATAAACACTTCATTTGGTGGTCCAGAAGACAATGGCACTACATTCCCCATGAAAATCCTGTTAAAATTTGGGGTCACTCTGTAAGTTTTAGGGCCCTCCTGAACTCAACACGTGTCACTGCGGAGTTCATTTCAGTCGGATTTCTTCACCAACTCTGAGGGAAGTCAGCGGCCCCCTGGCCGAAACAAAATGTCCTTTCATTTCTGGGGCCTGCTGCTGTCGCCCTGCATAAACCAAGATTGGAAACATGCCATGTTTAAAAAAAAAAAATTGCTTTCCTGTTTCCTGAAGAGCTCTTACAAGCTCTAGAACATGTTAGGGAATCTTTTCATTCCTTTTCCTGCAAATTAACCCTTAGAAGTCACAGTTAGGAGCAGTGTTCACAAAAGCTTGCTGTAATGTTATATGAATAATCTCTCACTCGTAGCTCATTGAAAACATTCTGTGGAAAGAGCAGAATTTTGGAGTCTGAAACAAACAGAAAAAGAAGTGCAGACACAGATCTGTTGATAGAGAATGTAAATTGAATATAAGTAAACTGGAAAAGGTTTGTGAAACGGACTTCAAGTTGGCTTGCCATTGCTGTGAATTCCTACGTGGCTACTAAGGGGTTGCTAGGTCATTGCTATGGTATGCCAGGTGGTGGCTAAGGTGTTTATGTTATCCCAGGTGGTTGCTACGTTCACATTACAAGTCTCATTGCTCAAATCCGATTTTTTGCTCAGATCCAATCTCGCTAACATGATGGTTCACACTCGTTTAGATAAGTGACTCAAATCTGTCATTAATGTGAACGTCCTGGTGTCCATCATCAGCACAAACTAACGAGCAGAACGAGCTTCACTGAGAAGATCATTAACTCTGATCAGCTCTCAGCTTCATTATTAGAGCGAGACGAAGGAGAAAAAGGTGAGATGAGCTTCTTTTCCACCGTTTACAGGCTGTAACTTCTGTTTGGCGCTGCTGCCAGAGTAACTGAATGATAGCGCACGCGCAGTGGAAAAAAACTCATTGAAATTCCAATCTGAGCGTCACATTAAGGTCGTATGGCCATGAATCAGATACGTATCTGATCTAGGGCCACATATGAAAGTGGCTCAGGTCGGAGTCACATTATGACCAAAAAACTGGTTCTGTGCCACTTCATCCTGGTAATGTGAATGTGGCCTTAGCTTTTGCTAAGCCACTGCTATGGAGCTCCAGGTTGTTGCTAAGGTGTTGCTAGGCTGTTGCTATGGCATTTCAGGTGATTGCTAGGCTGTTGCTATGCTATCCCAGGTATCGTTTGTGACATCATTTGTGGCAGTTAGATTTGAGTTTTCTCAACATTCTATCATTCATTTCTTACAGAGAAAAAAAAAATTGTGCTTAAACGAAGCCTAACGAATGCTCAGGCTCTGTAAGGCATTGGTTCTCAAATCAGTCATCAGGGATCCTAGGTGGTCCACGAACAGGCGCTGTTCAAAGGGGATTTTTCCCAAAATGTCTGAGATGTAAGCAAAATCGTTCAGAGTGGTTTGGTGTGAAATGGTTCAGATGCCTTTACAGTGGTGGTGATGAGAACCAGGGGTCGCCATGACTACAACAGATATAGACATTTTATTTACTGTCCAAAAACACCAGTGAACCTACACGAGTCTTCTGAGTTTTAAATGGAATATCGATAATGGTAAAATAATGGAAAATCTGAATAAAATCAATTTTTTTGGGGGGGGAATATTTTGTCTTACAATGCTTTATAAAAATAGGTTTTGGGCCAAAACCTTTTCAAAACTATTGTAAAACAGTGTTTTAGACATCAGGCAGCGTATTCATAACCATTTTGTGTAATAGCCCCTTGTGAGGGAGCTTTTAGAGACTTTTAGATGTCTGTTACCTGTAACCACCACTGTGGACATATTAAACCACTCTGACCTTACAGACCTTACAATTATTATTATTATCATTAGTAATAGTAGTAGCAGTATTTTGTCCTAGATCAGATACGTATCTGATTCGTGGCTGTGTGACCTTAATGTGAACGCTCAGATAAAAATTCATGTGCTTTTTTCCACTGTACATGTGCCATCCTTCAGTGTTACTCTGGCAGCAGCAGCAAACAGAAGTTAAAGCCTGTAACCAATGGAAAAGCGATATTATTATTATTATTATTATTATTGTTATTTTATTAAGCTGTTTTTTTTTTAAATGGGTGGTGGCTGTTGTCTGCCCTGCGATGGACTGGCGACCTGTCCAGGGTGTATCCTGCCTTCCGCCCAATGACAGCTGGGATAGGCTCCAGCACCCCACCGTGACCCAGAAGGATAAGCGGTTTAGATGATGGATGGATGCCATTCTTAGAAGAAATTTCTTCTTAACCTCTTATGCTCATGGGTATGTTTTGGTTTTTCCGTCTGAATTCACATGACCAAGTCGTAAGGCAAATTATTCAGTAACTGCATGAAATTAATGTAAATTTTTCTTTCTTCATTTATTTATTTTTTGGTAAAAGCTCCCCTCAACTTAACAGAACATGTGTTTTATGATCACACATGTTGCTATATGCTTACAATTTACTGCTGAAAGCCAAAAATCTTAGACGCTCTTTGTATTTTTTATAAAGTTTTTACAGAGCAGATCACTGAAGAGACGCCATCTGTTTATAGTTTATAGCCCAGGTCGAACACGCTTAAGAACAAACTTTAGAAGACATTGGTGAACGAGGTCTAGTGTC